CTAGATTCCCCAAACATTCAGCTTTCATATGCATCTTTTGGATTCATTCTATGTATTATAGTTATCGAGTAAGTCAATGAAATGTAAAAACACTGCTTTTTCGAGCATTTGAACACGAATTACAGCCAAACAGCTAAAACCACAGTAATATATCGATATTTGCTACATTCCCCAAACATTCAGCTTTCATATGCATCTTTTGGATTCATTATATCTATTATAGTTTCCGAGAAAATCAATGAAATGTGAAATGCGAATTACAGCCATATTACAGCCTCCCCAGGGAGGCGCGCCTCATAGTTTGGAAAACGCTGGTTTAAGGTAATAAATAGAATTTAATATCTTGATGCTGCAACACTTGCAATTATAGCGAAAGCAGTAAAGTTTTCTTTTTTGGAAATTCTACTGAGTACGTTAGTAGTATTCGACGAATACTTAAAGAATTGAAGACGGAATAGTATAATAAAGTGGACGAAGTAGGAGGAAAGCTGAGTGCGGTAATAATAGGTGCAATAATATCGTGATGGAGTGGTTCCATAAAGCTTTAAAGTATGTCTTCTGCAACGGCGGCATTTTTTACTGCCTAATGAAAACTCGGAATGGGGAGAATCATAAAAATCCCGGATTAATGATTTTCAGGCATCGACGAAAGTTAATTAAAACTGATTAGCGTTCGTGCGTTTTAATGCAATTCGGAAATTTCGTTTTGGGGCTGCAATTAACAAAAAAAAATACTATTCAATTTCCGATCTACATCGGTTTAGCAGCAGCAACAGCAGCGGCACCAATTAGTCCGCATTTGTGTACAGTGAGCAGATCAAAAAGGACAATCATTTACTCCAATTGATTTCAATTCGAAAACAATTAATGATTCAAAGAGGATTCGTGCATATTTTAGTTATTCCATTGATATTAATGTGATTAATGAAAAGTACTATTTGAGTTTATTTTTTATTTATAAATATGTTAGCTAGAGTTATATATTCAGTAGTAGCCTGCCGTTTCTTGATTGTCTTATTTGTTAGTAGGCGAAATGTGACAAATTTACAATGTCATCAGAGAAAAAATGTTCGATTCTATCCTGCGTCTCACCATGTAGGTCCAAACTACAATTGCAAGAGATTTGTTGCCTGATCTTTGCTTCTTCGTCTTCATCAGGTTATGCGGCGCCAATCCGTCACCTCGTGGCCGTGATGTCCTTCTTCCTGGTCGTCCTCATGTATTGTCAACGCGTTGTGATCAATATAGCCATAGTGGAGATGGTGGAACAGACGAAGAAAACAGCAGCAACCAGCAACAACACCGACGATACGTGTCCGATGGATCCTAGCCAGGATTCCGTCATAAAAGACATTGAAGTAAATAAATACGCTTTAAGATATTCGTAATGATGATGATGATGATGATTTCAGGGCGGAAAAATAGATTGGTCCGAGCAAGAGCAGAGTTACGTCCTGTTATCCTTCTACTTTGGTTACACGATCGCGCAACTCTTCTCCGGATTCGTGTGCGACAAGTACGGCGCCAAGTATCCTCTGCTCATCGGAGCAGGTTTATCCTCTGCGGCCACCTGCGTCCTTCCCATAATCGTGATGAGCAAGATGGCTTCTTGGGTGCCGTGCTTGATGCGCGCTGTCGCAGGACTCGCCCAAGTATCCCAGCCAGATATTAACTGAAAAGAACGGAAGGAAAAACTACTGCTATTGTTATGTATATTTGCAGGCTGTGCTGTATCCAGGTATAACGGCTCTGCTCGCTCGCTGGGTGCCCTTGTACGAGAGAGGAACTCTTTGCGCTGTCGCCTATTCGGGAAATTCCATTGGTATAATCGTCGGCACTTTAGGTACTGGTTTGATGATACACTATTTGAACAACTGGACGTACGTCTTCTACATTTGGTCTTCGTTCGGGTTGCTTTGGATGGTTCCGTTCTGGGTGTGGATATACTCGGATCCGTCCAAGCACAAGAACATAACTCCCGAAGAGCTGCAGCTGCTCACCTCGACGATCACGCCGCTGCAGACGCGCAACGCTCCGTTCAAGAGCATCTTCCAGGATATGGCTGTGTGGGCCATCGTCGTCGGGCAGGTCGGTCACGATTACATCTACTTCACCTTGGTCACAAATCTACCGAAGTACATGAACAACGTGCTCCACTACGACATCAAGAACAACTCGTGGGCCTCGTCGCTTCCCTTCCTCACCATGTACATAAGCAGCGTGATTTGCGGCAAAATTTCAGATCACATCACGATGACCACGAATTTGAACATAGGCGTCCTCCGGAAAGTCGCCACCACTATTTGTAAGTATTCTTATACGTCTTATAAATATTTGATGAGAATCCTTTTAAGCTGCGATCTTTCCCGGCCTCTTCGTGCTGCTCGCCGGTTACGCCAACTGCAACAGGATGCTCTCGCTGATGATGTTCTCGGTGGGGCTCTTCTTCAAGGGTCCATACTACAGCAGCCTGAAGGTGAACTGCATGGATCTAACGGCCGTCTACGCCGGCAATCTCATGTCCATCGCCAACGGGATCGGCTCTCTGGCCGGGATGGCCACTCCCTGGATCATCGGTTCATTAGCTCCCGATGTCCGTTCATTCATAAAATCAATCGATCAGTGATAAGAGAAAAACGAAAACGCTTTGCTTTCAGAATACACTGTCGCAATGGCACAAGGTGTTTTGGGTCGTGTTCGCCGTTCAAGTGATCACCAGCATATTCTACATAATCTTCGCCAAAGGTAAGAGAGCCAAATGGGATCTGACCTACCAAGAATCGGTCATCGACCTGAGCACTCCGACGCCGGTCAAGAAATGGTACATGGAAAAGAACACGCACGTGTATCGCGTGCTCAAGGAGGAGCGCCTGCGGATCAAGCAGGAGGAAAAGGACAAGAAAATCAAACAGAAAGAGGAGAGGCTCAAGGCGAAGAAGGAAAAGCAGGATAAGAAGGATGCGAAATAGTAGAAGGAGGAAATGAAACCGCCGCAACTCTACTTATAAATTACGTTTAGTTTAATCTTAAGACTCTTCAGACAAAATTATAGAGAATTCAAGTAACATATAATAGTGAGATAGATCATCGTCGTCTTCTTCATCTTCTTTGTTTCTTATTAAACATTTCATTACAACTTCGATTTTTAATTAATCTTTATTTAAAAAATATCAAATAGACAGTAATCGAAAATCATAGTTAAAAAAAAAAAAAGAGAGAGAAACTTCAAGTTTGTTGTTGTTTTTGTATTTTGCAGAATGGTGGTGATTTGTAAAATCTGTAAATATCTTTCTCTCCGCGCTTCTATTTCTTCTTACCCAGCGCCCGATTCACTTGGGTCACCTTCTCTTTCGCGGCGTTCTCCTTCTGCACCTTCTCCTCTTCACGCCTCTTAGCTGCTTCGGCCCTCTGCTGCTTGACGATGGCTAATCGGGCCAGATCTGCTCTAGCCTGATCCGTTTTACCCTCGGCGTGCAGCTTCTGGTAGTGGGCCTGAGCCTTCTGCTTCTCGATCTCCTCCCTTTCTCGCCTCGACAACTCTGGTTTCTCCTCCAGTTCGGTGGTCTTCGTCGTCGTCGTCAACTTCTTTGATTTCTTCTGCACTCTATTAGGATTCTCTATTTTTATTAAGTTAGATACACCTTTCGCTTTACAGTTTTCCTGAAATCAAAAAAACGACAAATACAAACTTACATCCTCATACTAAATTGTTTATCAAAAACAAACAAACCTCATCTTCGCTGGATTCCTCCTCACTACCAGATTCTGAGGTTCCATCATTATCTGAGGCATCCGAGTCTTCATCAGTATCAACAACTTCTCCCCTCCGTTTCCTCCACATCTTCTCCTCGAGCTCCTTCTTTTCCTGTTCCAGCTCTTCGCGACTGGTGAACTTCCTGTTGCGTCCCTTGTGGTTAACATATTTACCTGCAAGCACCAAAAAAATTGCGTAAAAACACATGCATTCAACAACTACTATATGCAGGACGATTCGATTTAGCAATTACCTTTTGGCATCTTGGCTTTTTTCTCTCGATACGACACGTAGCAGGTGAAGAAGCGCAGCAAATATTGGCAGAACGTTTTGCTCAACGAAAATATAGTAGGATTAAACTATAAATTAGACCGTGGGTTGTGCTGGGTATATGCAAAGGTGACAAATGCGGACATTTACTTCCAAGTTGAAGTTAACAGCAAGACGTAAATAAAAACGATTACATTTCGATAATTAAGAGTGGTGGAGAGTGGATTCAATAGAAATGATCAAATTAAAGCAATTAAAACAGTTTTACATATTAATTAGCGAATGTAATTTGCTTAAATTTGAATATTTTGCAACAACACATACATCGATTGCAATTACTTAAACAACGTTTATTCACTTTATGATAAATCAATGAATTTATATTAATTAAACGCTAATTAATTAGTTTTATTCGAAAATAATACAATTATAAATAATACAAAATTTTGCAATAAATCATCACTTTTGTTGGGCCAACAAAAAACTATTGTTTAAATCTATAATAAAGACATGAATTTAACCAATTAGAATATAATTATAACATTTAATCAACGAATTCCTAAAAGAATTTTCTATTAGCAACATTTTCGTTGGTAACCGTGATTTAAAATTGTAACTAATTTCAGCTCATTGCTACGCGCAAACCCCGCAACCCCTTGTGCAACGCGTAGTATTTGAGAGCTGTTTTTCACAACATAACCAAGAAAGTGACTGAAGGATCAACAACAAGAAGTTAATATCCTTTTAACGTATATATCGACAATATGCCTAAAGTGAGAAGAAGCAAGAAATCTCCGCCAGAAGGTTGGGAATTAATCGAACCCACTTTGGACGAGCTGGATCAGAAGATGAGAGAAGGTGAGCACAATTATTATTATTATTATTATGATACACACAATCAAGAACTCTGTGACTAATCAATACATCTTCGCTTACCAGCTGAGACCGAATCTCACGAGGGAAAACGCAAGCAGGAATCGTTGTGGCCGATCTTCAAAATCCACCATCAGAAATCCAGATACATATACGACCTGTTTTACAGGAGGAAAGCGATCAGCAGGGAGCTGTACAACTTCTGCTTGGAGGAGAAGATTGCCGACAAGAATCTGATTGCTAAATGGAAGAAAACCGGTTACGAGAACCTTTGCTGCCTTCGCTGCATCCAGACGAGGGACACCAACTTTGGAACAAACTGTATATGCAGAGTGCCTAAAGGGAAATTGGAGGAGGGAAGGATCGTGGAGTGCGTCCACTGCGGATGCAGAGGTTGCTCCGGTTGATTCAGCAATATAAGTGTTTATTTCTTTATTATTTTTTTGAAAAAATGTTTGTGGATATTTCGAAAAGTTTATATTGGGTAATTATTGTATGCAAAAATATTTATTTAATGAGAAAACAGTAACCATTAACATGTAAATACGACTTATAAATAGAATATTATAAATAATTAAATTAAAGGTCCCAACAAATTTCGTGAGATCAAAACTAAGGTCAAACTTAGAAAAAAATTTAAACTATTCCTAAACTTAGTCTTGCACATTCGAAGGGCTATAAAAACTTTATGACCAACGCCTTCTGCATCCGAACGTTGAACTGAACTGAACGTTAAACCTACATGTAATAAAAAGTACTTAAGTAATCGATTACTTAGGGGTTAAGTAATTGTGCTCAGAGTGCGATTGTGATCTCCGGATTGTACAGACTCTTCTCGTCGACGAGACTCAGGCCGACGCCCTGGACGAGCTCCTTGAAGATGATGGGGTTCATGTTCTTCCCCAGCTGATCCATGAAGAACATGTCGCCGAAGGTCAGGCGTTTCGTGATCGCGTCCGAGTGCTTCTCTGACAGATACCTGCATCTGGCTCTCAGCAATTTCGAGCGACACTTCGGCGATACCAGAACGACTGCACGGTAAATCAACTGGTAGAAGGAGAGAAGCGTCAGGGCTGCGAACCAGAACCACAGGAAGAGGAACAGTTTCTCGTTGACGATGTTGAGTGGGAGAACGCACAGAGCGTCTCTGGCTTCCAGAGAACCGGATGGACCGTACCTGTAGTACGTGCATTTCGTGATCTTCGGAAACACCGCGGTCATCGGGTTGACGTTGTGATAGGTCGCCACTCCTATACCGTACCCAGTGAATTGCCCGGTCAAGAACCAATCCATTAAAACTATCTGAAACAACTGTTTACAAAACAAACTTAATAATCAGAAGTTTCTAGAAGATTCCCACTTACGACGTTGACAAAATTTAAAACTTCGCAGAAAGCGAATCGCAGAGTGTAACAATTGTGCGAGTACTTCCCGCACAGGATGTACGAAATGAGGCGCTCCTTGTTCTCTCCGTTCCAGTTCTGCGACACCAAAGGTCCGCCTAAAAAAAACGGAACAAATTAATCAGAACTTTTCAAACTCATCATCATCAGCAATTCCACCTAAATCTTTAACAATCAAACGCAACCTTCCGGCTTCCCACGATTTCCACAGATACCTCGGAATGTAGAAAAGCAAAGCTTGAAAGCAAAAGACTATGCAGACCCATTGGTAATACTTCTGCGTGATTATCTCCTCGTTGTCACGGTAACTCAGCACCCTCTGCCAATAGGGAGTCGCCTTCTCTCCGACGTAATTACCCAAACCGGACAAGATTTCCTCTACGCAACAAATTATCAATTAAATAAATTACAAATTTGAAATTCATAATCAAGTTACCGTTGAGTGTACGCTTGATAACAAACGTTCCGTAAATCCAACAATACGTATCGATGACGCTCTTCCTCGTCTCCACGTCGCAATCGATTGGATCACCAAAGTACTGCTTGGAAGTCAGCAGGATCGAGAACAATATCAGCAGGATCACAGTGAACTTGTAATGCAGTTTGAAAATGTTGTTGTCCGTGTGGATCTTCTCTAATTTGATCAAAGACTTGAACGAATTAAGGAAGTCGATCATCTTCGCGAGTTGTTTTCTCGCCCTTTCAATGGTACTTCGTTTTAGATAAACACGCCAGTTTGTTTAGATTACTTTGCTTCGCGATTCACCACACTTAATAACACTTGATCTGTCGCGTGTCTTCTTCTTCTGTTGTTTTTTTTTTCTTTCCGTCGGAAACCGCGATGCATTTGTTTTTTTACCCATTGGAATCATTTGGCGGTAAATTTCAACATAAATAAATATAAATAATCTACTTGGAAAACATTTTAAAAGCAAACATTTTTCATGAATTCTTTTTTTAAACAATTCTACTATGAATAAAGAGAAACTTACAAAATTTTGAGAAACAATGTAATTCAAAAATTGATTATAAATATTTATTAAACAATTTACAATTTATCAAATTTTAATTAATTTCTACTTATAATAATTAGGAAAATCATTCAAATTTGAATTTTTCATCTATTGTCTCAAAAAACCAGTAGATGTCTCTAATCGAAATGAATTCATTGTTTATAATTGGAATCATTTGGCGGTAAATTTCAACATAAATAATCTACTTGGAAAACATTTTAAAAGCAGAAAATGTTCATGAATTTTTTTCTTTAAACAATTCTACTATCAATAAAGAGAAACTTACTAAATTTTGAGAAACAATGTAATTCAATAATTGATTATAAATATTTATTAAACAATTTAAAATTTATTAAATTTTAATTAATTTCTACTTATAATAATAAGGGAAATAATTCAAATTTTTCATCTATTGTCTCAAAAAACCAGTAGATGTCTCTAATCGCAATGAATTAATTGTTTATAATTGTAATCATTTGGCGGTAAATTTCAACATAAATAATCTACTTGGAAAACATTTTAAAAGCAGAAATTTTTCATGATTTTTTTTCTTTAAACAATTCTACTATTAATAAAGAGAAACTTACTAAATTTTGAGAAACAATATAATTCAAAAATTGATCATAAATATTTACTAAACAATAATTAATTTACAATTAATTAAATTTTAATTCATTTCTTACTTATAATAATTAGGGAAATAATTCAAATTTTAATTTTTCATCTATTGTCTCTAGAAACCAGTAGATGTCTCTAATCGCAATGATTTAATTGTTTATAATTGGAATCATTTGGCGGTAAATTTCAACATAAATAATCTACTTGGAAAACATTTTAAAAGCAGAAATTTTTCATGAATTTTTTTCTTTAAACAATTCTACTATCAATAAAGAGAAACTTACTAAATGTTGAGAAACAATGTAATTCAAAAATTGAATTAAACAATAATTAATTTACAATTAATTAAATTTTAATTAATTTCTACTTATAATAATTAGGGAAATAATTCAAATTTGAATTTTTCATCTATTGTCTCAAGAAACCAGTAGATGTCTCCAATCGCAATGAATTAATTGTTTATAATTGGATCATTTGGCGGTAAATTTCAACATAAATAATCTACTTGGAAAACATTTTAAAAGCAGAAATTTTTCATGAATTTTTTCTTTAAACAATTCTACTATTAATAAAGAGAAACTTACTAAATTTTGAGAAACAATGTAATTCAAAAATTGATCATAAATATTTATTAAACAATAATTAATTTACAATTAATTAAATTTTAATAAATTTCTACTTATAATAATTAGAGAAATAATTCAAATTTTTCATCTATTGTCTCAAAAAACCAGTAGATGTCTCTAATCGCAATGAATTAATTGTTTATAATTGAGTTAATAATTGATGAAATTTGTAAGTGATTATATAATTGTGTTACTAAATTAAAGGCGTAACTTATTTTTAAAATTATTTTTAATTCAGGCTTTAATTAAGAATTTGTGCAGCGCCAAAAGAGCTGAACTAAATTTGTAGTTTGATATGAAAGTTGTAATTTTCTGACAGTAGTTCGAATAAAAACAAACATAACCTACAATAATCAGCGTGTAGTAAATATTTGTGGATTTTAATTTATTTTATAATAAAAACAATAAGATGGGCAGGAAAATTCCGGCTAGGAAGCATAAAGGTGTTAGGGATCCGGAGAAGCAGCGCCAGGAAAGATTGAACAAGCAAGTAACAAATTATTTTAGAAAATATGAATTCCTAACGAATGTTAATAAATTTTAGGATCAAGCATTTGATAAACTGTCCCCCATCTGATATCAATAACCAGGAGATTCCGAGAAGTCTCCTGGAGATTATGGAGCTGAAGAAGAAAGCATTGGAGCCTATGCAAAGGCGGAAGCCTAAAAGGAATAAGAATGAGTTTACTATTCCCGGTTCGAATGGTAAGAAGGTGCTGAAAAGGTTGGATTGTGAATCTAAAGAGGAGTTTCTCGATCGCGTTAATAATGTCTGCGATGATCTTGTGGCGGATGCTGAGGTTTCAAAGAAATATAATGTGGAGCTGAAGAGAAACGATTCTGGGGATATTGTGGATGTGGTTAAAGGGAAGAAAGATGTTTTGGAGGAATACGTGAATAAAATAACCAAGGAAAAGAATAAGAAGGGTAAGGCGAAGGCAAAAGGTGACGGTTTGAGGAAGACGCAGAGGCGCGCTTTGAAACTGAAGGAGAAGAAGGCTGTAAAGGAGGCGAGAGACGTGGATGAGTTCAAGAAGATGAAGGATGATGTTGCTTTCGGTGAAATAGTACACGCTCCTCCGACGTTGGTCGTGCCTAGAAGGGGTCAAACCAAGGATGGAGCTGATAGGGTAAATTGAGATGATTCAATTGAGTTTTTTAATTAATTTTATGTAATTTTTCAGCCTGGAAAGAGAAATTTACTGCTGAAATCGATGATGACGAATGATGGTGATGAAGCTAAAGCAGCTTCTGGCATTAAAGTAGGCAAAGTGAGTAAAGCCGCTGGAACTCAGTTTGATAGGACTGGAAAAAGGAAAGACATGCCTGCAGCGCTCAGGAGACAATTGGATAAGCAGCAAAGTGAAGTCATCCAAGCCTACAAAGATTTGAAAAAGAAAAAATATATTAAATAATTACATAAAAAAAAATGTTTAATTCTATTATTTTTAACATTTCTCCAATGATTTACTGAAATATATGTATATATTATAGTTTTATTACTGATAATTATAAATACATGGTTATACCGCAATTTTTAATGTTACGTAATTTAAAAAAGGTTTAAAAACCTCTACTATGGAAGAATGAGTGTATGCAACTTCATTTTCAAGGTGCGAATTAAGTTGCATAAGTAAGATGTTGGTATTGCTGTTTTCAAATATTTGTATGGCTATGTTCATTGGTAAATATAACCTAGAAACACGTGTGACTTTTGGTGTTGTGCTCATAGTAACAGTAAGTTTTTGAAATGGAAATTAAGAACATGAAGAAGGCGAAGAGGAACAGCGGTGATATGGAAGCAGCAGACGCGTCGCCCTCAAAGAAAGTGAAGACGAATCCGAAAAAATCCAACAGAGATGATCAAAAACCAAGAAATAACTTCGATGGTAAAAAGGATTTCAAGAGCAAACCATTCCAGAAGGATGGCAAAAAGCCGTTCGGCAAAAACGACAAGTCCAAACCGTTCCAGAAGAAATTCGGTGAGAATAACGGAGATGCCAAGAAGAGTTTCACCAACATGGATAAATCAGAGTTGCCAAAGAAGGAAGGAGATTCAGAGGCTGTCGATTGGAATGTGTACAAAAAGCAGCAGAAGGAGCTGAGGATGAAGAGGAAGCAAGCGAACAAACCGGGCATGTTCGAGAAGATCACAAAGGCCAAACAAATTGGTGAGCAACTCAGGATGAAGAAGTTGACTGGAGGTAAAGAGGAGAGAGATAAGTTGGTGAATGAATTGCATGGACTTCTTGGGAATCACGGAGATTACGTGAAATACGTTTTAACACATGACATGGCCAGGATCGTTCAGTACATGTTGAAATTTGGCAACCAGAAAGTCAGAGAAGAAATTTCAAAAGTAAGTTGTTTATGAAATTTTAAGTATTTTATAAAAATACATTTTTGTTTTTTGTTTTTAGGAACTTGTTCCATCTACTGTATTGATGATGCAATCTAAATATGGTAAATTTGTCGTCAAAAGAATGTTTATATATGGTAATCATCAAATTCGTGCTGAATCTATGAAAGCGATGTACGGAAATGCTGTTAAATTGAGCAGCCACGTGAACAGCGCCGCCGTCTTTGAATATCTTTACACGACGTACGCTTCGCCTGCGGATAAAGTAGCGCTAGTTCAAGAATTCTTTGGAGATATGTACAAAACCGCAAAAGACACTTCGGTGAAGCATCTCAAGGATGTTTACAGCAAATGTCCTGACATGAAGGTGGCCGCTTTGGGAGCGACGAAGGCGAATTTGCTCAGGGTTTTGAATAAGGAATTGCTGGATTCGGCTTTAATTCAGAGCGTTCTGTATCAGTTCCTTTCGGAATGCAGCAAGGACGATCGCACCGAGTTCATTACGCAACTGGTGCCGCACATTGTGGTGATCAGCAACAGCAGGGATGGAGCCAAGGCGGCTATGCAGTGCATCTGGCACGGTACCAACAAAGACAAGAAGACTCTGATGAAGACACTCAAAGAGCACGTGATCGAGTTGTGCAAGCACGAACACGGACACGGCGTCATCATCACTTTGCTGGACTCCACAGACGATACGCTTTTAATGAACAAATTGATTTTGAGCGAGATCGTGAGCAAAGCGGAGGAATTGGTCAAGGAAGATTGGGGTCGTAAAGTAATCTACTAACATCACAATTCAATACAACAATTACTAACAACTGAAATTATTTGTAGGTATTGCTGTGGATTGTGACAGCAGCAAACAGGAAACATTTCCATCCGCAATTCATCAGCGAATTGGACGCGGGAAGGCAAAGCTCTACCAGCAAGAAAGACGTGGAACAGAGGAGAACCGAACTTTTGGATTACTCAAAGAAAGGATTGTTGAGCGCAATTGCCGCTGAGCCTAAATCTTGGTTATCCCAAGCCTCAATTGCATTAGTAACTTCAGACATTTTAAAAATAGGTAAATATATTTTGTATACATTTCTTTCATTAACAGTATATTAATTAATTAAATTAAAATTGATTATAGGTTCAGGTAACGAATTGGAATCAGCATTCAAGGCGCTTTCCACGGTGGTAATAGATCCCGAATGGAAAGTCGTGAATGGGGACAAGGAGATTCTTGCCATCGAAGATGCTGGTTTCCATATGGTGCTGAAAAAGATTGCGCAAAACGACAAGAACCACGAGGATCACACATTCGGCAAAGCAATTGTCGATCTGTTGACAGACGATTTGGTAGGATAATTCATGATTCATTTGAAATCAACGTACTTATTGTTCCCATTCTTTTGCAGATCACCAGCTGGGCAAAACTGAACAGAGCGTGTTTCCTGCTGCTCGAAATCTACAAGAACAATTCAGAGGAAGTCCAAAGCGAATTGAAGACTAAACTTAAAAGCCACATTAAGTTAATCAAGAAACAGAGTAGCGCCGGTTCTAAATTGTTATTAAAAAATATTGAATAAATATATTTTAAGCTTGATTTATTCCACAATTTATGATATAAAAAAAAATGTTACGTAATGTTAATAAAACAGCAAGTTTTTTTTAAATTTCAAACACAGTATACTCAAACGCAACTTTATTTAAATTATAGTTCCTAAAAATTCGGACAGATGGTTCTGGCTGTCTTAATTAACATGCATATAACTCGATAATTAATTAGCTTTTAACTGAAGAGACTAAAGTAATAACTTAAGATTCGTTCAAGCATTATTTAAACTTATTTATTAATTTAAATTAGTATGTTTGCAAGTAAATGGAGCATAAAACGGATTTTTCCGACGGTCCGTTTTTTTCCATCCCTGCGGCGATGAACAACACGGAACGAACGGATAATTAACATTTAAAACTTCAATTTACATTTTTTTTTCTATAAAACAAACGCGATTTTGAACTGCAGGAATAAATTAAAAGAATCTTTTTTCCGAGCATTTATATGAAGATATTTCAAAATTCTAAATTATTTGGAAAGGTTCAATCTTTCGGCTTTAATTTGAGAGCACGGTTCTTTCTGTGCTAAGAGCACGAAGGAAGATGTTGTGAGCTCATTTTCTGGAAGACTAATTGGATCCAAATGAAAGCTAGATGTTTTCGTATGTAATCATTGCAAACAATTAAGTTTTTGCACCAAATCACTAAATAAATGGACAATTTAACATTTCTTTAAAAATCTGAATTTACTGTTTTAAAGAATAATTCTTTTGCTTTCATTTGCTATAAAATACGTTAGTTTTGGTTAATTATTAAGAAAGTTATTAAGCTTTAATGTGTTGGCGGTTTTCGCGAATCACAACACAAGTCATTGAATACTGAATATCAAAAATTTAATTTTTATCAAATCTCTTGATAAAGAATAAAAGCTTTTTTTATATAGCTATCAATCTACATTTACACTCATTTTAATCTATGTATATTCAAGAACAATATTCATATTGAAAATTCTTCTGGGAACAAGTGTCTCCGAAAATACAGGTCATTTTCGAAGAAGTTATTTTCCAAACTGTCATCTGTAAAATACCAAAGTTTGGTAATTAATTATGACCAAGTCATAGTAGCTATAAACATGTATTTACTCTCATTTCAATCTTTGTATATTCTAGATCAACATTCATATACAAAATTATTCTGGGACAAGTGTTACAAAAATAAAAGCATTTTCAAGACGTTATTTTTTCATCTGTCATTTTTCAAATGCCAAAGTTTGTTAATTATGAAGAAACCATTGCAGCTAGAAACCTATATGTATGCTCATTTTAATCTCTGCATGTTCAAGATCAACGTAAATATTCAACATTCTTCTGGGAGCTGGTGTATACGAAAATACAGGCTATTTTCAAAAACTATTTTCCTACTTAATCACAAAATGTATGATTGGTTGCCTGCTCTTTAGGCGTAGAATGAATATTCCATCTTTTGTACAGCTGAGCCATCTGTTTGCAATATGTCAAAGGTTGTAGTTCGGGCATTTTAGCGCTGTACAAAA